TTTTAAAAAGGCTTTTGATTCTGTGTCACACAACATGCTCTTATTAAAGCTATGGAACTCTGGTGTTGTCGGGGTACTCTGGGACTGGTTCCAGGCTTACCTAACCACAAGGCGTCAATGTGTTAATGTAAATGGCTCTTCTTCAGCCTTTCTGAATGTCCTCAGTGGTGTCCCACAAGGGAGTGTACTTGGTCCCCTGCTATTTCTAATCTTTGTGAATGATTTATCATATCTGACCATCCCATCGAAGCTTCTGCTCTTTGCTGATGATTCAAAGTGCTTTCAAATCATTAAATCATCTAGAGACTGCATTCTCCTTCAAGAGAGTCTAGATGGGGCATTTCAGTGGAGTATAAATAGTGATCTCTCCTTTAACACAGCTAAAACCAAGCATCTTCGGTTTTTCAGGAAATCCTCTGTCCAACCACCTTATTCATACTCGATAAACGGTTGTGACATCCCTACTCAAGACACCATAAGAGATCTGGGTTTTCATCTATCATGTGATCTATCATGGTCTACTCACCATACTATAATCATCTCTAAAGCCTACAAGGTTCTTGGTCTTCTAAAAAGGACTTTCAAGAGTAGTAACGTCCATGTTAAGAAGCAATTGTACCTCTCTCTGGTTCGCTCTATACTATCGTATGGCTCCCAGATATGGCGGCCTACTTCCATTAAGAATCTACTCCTCCTTGAAAGAGTTCAAAGACGTGCAACTAAATACATCTTATCTGATTACTCATCTGACTATAAGACACGCCTTACCTCACTGAGTATTCTCCCACTAGCAATGTATTTCGAATACCTTGATGTTTCATTTGCACTTAAATCCATCCATGATAGCAACAATAGCAGTTACACTGGGTCATTTGATATTCTTTCCTATATTTCATTTACATCCACCAACTCTAGATCAGGAGACCATGTGAAACTCACTCACCATCTCTCTCACACCTCTCAAACATCCAATGCATATTTTCATAGACTACCTAAGTTATGGAATAGTCTCCCTTCCTTTGACCTCTCCCTCTCTCCAGCCACCAACTGTATGAAGCTAAAGAACTTTCTGTGGAATCACTTTCTCAATTCGTTTGACAATGACCTTCCCTGCACTTATCACTTCAGTTGTATGTGTTGTAAATGCTCCTCCCTCTCTCACCCCCCTAATTTCTTTTACTTCTAATCTTTTATTCTAATTAATAACTCTTAATTTCCTATTCTCCCTTTCCCTTTCACTCTATTTCTTTTTATTTATTTATTTTTGGCTCTCTGACTGTATTATCATTGAGACCCTCAAGGTTACTATTTTCATTTATGTATTCATTTTATACTGTTACTTACTCTGTCTTTCCCTTGTAAAGTTATTATTATTATTATTATTATTATTATTATTATTATTATTATTTTGAACAATCAGTACAATTATCTTATAAATTAAAATTCTCATTGTGTCATTACTGTAGAGTCTAAACTGAAGCTACTGACTAGAGGAAAGTTGATAAATAAAATATTCAAATCAAAGAAATCAGAGACTCAGTATTTCCGAACCTCTCTCCTAATGAAAGCAGGTACTGACTCTACCGGTATAATCTGTCTATACTACCTCATCACAGGAAGAGAGGAGGCATTAGTGGAGTATAAGAAAGAGATTGAGTTACTACAAGAAAATATATCAATAACTAGTGTACAACTGCTGATGAGAGAAACGGGAAATATTGAGAGTATGTGATATGTTAGTAATTAAATCATTAACTGATTGATATATTGTATAGAGAAGGATCAGTGTACACAATCACCAACAGCAGAATCTATTTACACAGCACGTTTTGACTATCATGGAATATGGAGAGGTGATCTTTCATTCAGTGAGGGAGAGCAGCTGAAGATATATGACAATTCTGATAGTTTTGAGTGGAAAGGAAGATCCTTGGTGTCTGGTGATGAGGGAATCATTCCTAGTAGTTGTGTTTACTCAATGTTGGAGTCACTTCAATTGTTAGAGTTTATACTGTCAGTGGAAGAAGTGTCCCTTCCTATTCTACAGAAGATAAGGAATGATTCATCTAGTAATGATGAGAAAGCTTCTCTTTTCTTGGAGACTATTAATGATGATCCTATTATGATACCTGCACTGAGACAAGACAAGGAACAACATGATAAAGGTAATATTTGTGATTATTGTGACAGTCAGTATAATTATTGATGAACATGTAATGTCATGTGTACATGCATACTTGTGTATGTAGCATGTACAATGTACATGTAATTTTATACATTATATTCCTGTCCCTACATATGTACACATTACATGTGTGTATGTATGTACATATGTATTGTGTGTGTGTATTT